GGCACACCTAGCGCGGTGCGGAGGCGGCGTTTGGGGGCTGCACCAGCCTCTGCCATCCCGCTGGGCAGGTGGGAGCGCTGACCGTGGCCCTGCTCATCACCCGCGCTGCAGCTGGGTTAGAGACTTGTTTAAGTGGCTGAACAGCTAGTTACAGCCCTCAGAAAAGAGAGCAGCCGCTGACCACGGTAGCAGGCCATGGGGGTCTGCTCCACCTCTGTTACTGGTTTGCCGCAACCTGGTTAGGATCCTATTTATCCCTTATTTTCCCAGGTGGAAAATGAGAGAGCAGAGCTTCTCTATCTCACAGTACCCGCCAGAGCTTAATTCCCCAATATCTGCACAGTCCCGTAATGCCGCAGGGCTGGTTGCTGTAGGTGTTACAACCTGGTCACGGAGCAGGCACCCAGTTAACTGCTCTGCTGCGTGGAAATGATCAAAAAGATCTGAATGTGTTAAACCACATCCGGATCCGAATTCCTCTGGGGAATTACGGTGGCAACAGCAATCCTGACGGGCTCATCCCTTGGCTTTAACGCAGGCGTCAGAGGGCTCTCGGGTATCATCGTTCCTAGCGTAGCTCACCGCTGATTAACTGGGGGGTGATTTTTAAAGTGCGCCTGTGCCGCTAGCCTCTCTTTGGCAAAGCGAGGTAACCACGTCTCTGTCCTGCTTCGCCTCTTGCCGGGACAGTACGCCTGGCTTCCCTATTAAGCACTTCTGGCACAGTCTTAGCAAGAAGCACCAACTGGCGGCTGTCTTTCAAAGAAACCCACTTTACTGCTGCCTGTGTCGTCTGGTTTATGTCTCTCTAAAACCTGGTGTTTTTTTCCATCAATCTTCCTCTAAAATTAACAACACAAGACTTTCCTGTCTGCGCCGTGTTACGGACCTTGCTCCGTAGGCACCAGAGGACGCAAGGTCAGCGGAGCTTATGCGTTTCTGCGTGCGCTTGGTTGAGCACGTCGCGTCAGACATGCAACGCTGACACGTCGGGTAGCGGCTGCAGGGGTCGGGGGAATGCGTGCAAAATATACTGGCCTGGCTGAAGTCGGGGCTCAACAAACTTATAAATACATACAGTGAGTTGTCTGCATTACAAGTTTGTGTCCTTCTCTGTGGTCCCTTTCGCTGTTCTTACTAAGGCTGCAGATGAGATGAAGTGCTTGAGCTAGCAGCCCGCAGGCTGCCGGCGAAGGCTTTCAATGCCCTGCCCCCTCATCCCGTTCAGGTCGCCCGAACCTCTTCATTGCACCTGGTCTTCGAAAGTTGGAGGGAAAAAAAACATTTTTCATCAACTCTGATGTCTGTGTTGGGTAAACTCACATGTTTTGACAGGTCCTGTCCCACCGCAAGTTCTCGGGGGCAGAATTAGGACTGTGAGCTATGCTTTACCATTAGCCCCAAAGGAGTACTTGGTGAGCTGAGAGATGTGCAGTGAGACCTCGGTGTCTATTTTCTGCTGCAAACGGGGCTGTTTTGGTCGATTTCTAAGTCCAGAGGAATGAAAACTATGTGAATTTAGTGAAACGCTCCTAGGAGGTTGTGAATTCATAGGTAAGCGGAGGGGTTGGGGAGGTAGGACACCTCCCAGAAGGAAAGGTCCTGCATTAAAACCGGCTGGTCTCCAGCTGTCAGGAGAGCCCTTGGGGTTAGAGCGAGGCAAAGGCACGTTTCCTAGCGGGGTAACCGCTAAAGCCACCGTCCTACCCGCCTTGTCCTCGGCGGCGATCGCTGCCCCGCGGCCTGCCTCACTAAAGAAACGACGGGTTGTAAAAGCGTCTCACGTCCGTCAGGCTCAGACGGCTCCCAGCTAAGGCCAAGGCTCGGTGCGAAGAGCCTTTGGCCGGGAGG